ACACCATAAGGTAAGGGAAAGGTCAAATTAACTAGTCTGTATTGATCACAAGGAGATTTGCAAGATTCTAAAACTTGCAACTTTCTTTTTTTTAAGCCAGTCAAATTTAGCAGTGGGGGGTGGTGGTGGTATACCAACTTTAGTGACACTAATGTTAATAAGTTCTGATAACCCACTGCCATCAGACCAGCCTGGTCCGATAAAGAAAGTTAAAAGCAGTTTACATTCAAAAGGTTAAAAATTTATTTGATCAGAAAAGCTACAAAGTGGCATGAAAACAGAGCAGTGGAAATTTTGTACAGTATTGTTTCCAGTTTAGTACATTATCTGGCAAGTACTAGTGAAAGACATGATTTCAATGTTTTCTACTTTAAAGTAAAATGCAACCAGTCTAAGTTTTAATATATTTTAGAATTTTGATAAAACATAAATATGGCAAGTTAGCAAATGAGTTGACTAGAGTTTGAAATGTAGAGTGGTAAAAGTTTTGTAGCATAGTTGCAGATAGAATCTCTTTCAATTATTTTGATAAGACATTTTCAGTGTTGCCATAGTGAAAATGTTGAATTAGTGTTGATGTTGAGTCCTCTTGGCTTTTAGTATTAAATGTTATTTGATTATGAATATACAAATTAATTTAAATAAAAATCCAAACCCCTATTTATCTTGTATATTTATAGTAATATTTACAATTTTTATTCAATTGGATTTTATTACTTTGATGTTTGCTTTTATGAGTGATAAACTTATTGCACAGTAAGTTAAATTTAAACCAAAAATCTAAAAATTAAGACTTGTTACTGCAAAGTATTATGAACAAAAAATGAAAATATGAATATAAAAAACTAAATTATAATATTCCATATAGAAAATGAAACTACAATACATCCAAGAGAAGGAAAGGTGAAAATTTAAGTACTACAAATGCTTATATTTGTATATTTTCAAGTATTTGCAGTATACAAAGGAAAAATTCTCTTTCCAAAATACGTCTATTAAAGGATACCATACATGCTGAATTAAATACTTTGGTATGTAGATTTTCAATATGACCTGGAACAAACATGAACAAAATATTAAGAGTACTAATATAAGGCACATGGTGTGTACAGGAAATAGAATCTGTCTTAAGGTACATGACGTGATACAAACTGACCAATGAATGTCAGACTAATTGTCAACATGTGGTGACCAGTGAGTAAAATATTTATTTTTTATTTGAAGAGAAAACAAAACAAAACAAACAAAAAAACAGTAAAAGGGTACAAGTATTACAGAACTTCAAAAAAAATTAAACAGTAAGAAATCACCAGTTAACAAATTACACACTGTCATCTTAGAAAAGTTAAAAATTAAGTATACAAAGTGGTCATTCAAACAGTGAAACAGCAAACAATTGTGTTCAATGATCCAATAAAAACTTAGTAATATGGTCATTTATCTTACATGCCTAAACACACTTGCAGTTCTGTCCTTTAGAGCACTTTGTTTTCCTCTCTTTTTTACAATAATATTTAAACATTTTGGGTTTTATTACTCCCACAGTTCTTATTACTTTTTTTTGGAAGAGAATAAAACCAAATATGACAAAACAAAGCACAGTTTGGCAAAAAAATGATGGACATAGTACATGATGTAAAAACAGAATACAAGGTAATCAACAACAGTTACCATAATGCCCCTTGCTACCTTAAAAATTGCCTATATCATGAGGTATAATAAAATTGAACAAAACAGTACAGAACAAAACCAATAAAACCGAAACAGTGGAGACATTACAGGACTTCAAAAGAAGCTAATAGTCAAACCAGAATGGCCATCATAGTGAATCTTATTGCCTTCAAAGTAGTTACCTATACCCTCAAACTTGATTCCATCCAGCAAAACAGAATAGAGTAAAATCAGTCAAAACAAGATGGTGAGAACAATATAGGGCTTCAAATTGAGTTAATAGGAAATCAAAAAATTAATATATCCTGCTAATTTTTTAAAAAATTTCCCTTAATTAAAAAAATAATAAAATAAAAATAATTTTAAAAGGGGGGATATTGAGATAAAAGAGGACATAACAGCATAACAATACAGATCAGAAGAGAACAATTTAAGCAACATAGTGTTTCACCACAACATAACCCGACTTAATAGTAGTTACCGTAGTGTATCTTTCTTTGAAATATTTGAGTATAACTTCATATACGATAGCATCAAACATATCAAGACAATGTGAAACCATTCAAGAGAATGAAAGTATTACAAGGTATTTAGAACCAGCTAACCGAAAACGAACAATGGTTTCTATGTTTTCTCTTTGCCTATAAAAATTTTGTTTATACTATCACATATAATAAAATCCAATAAGATAAAACATGATAAAAGCAATGGAGACAATAGAACAACAATTTGATGGAAGAATACAAGACACCATAATAGCTAGTGCTGATTTAGTATCATCTTGTTTTGAGGTTCCAGTGTGAATCTTAAAGGATGCTCTGAATTCTGTCAACAATTGTTTTTATAGCTTTGTTCAAAGTACTGAAGTAGATTATTCTTGGGTTATTCAGATAAAAACTGAACATTTATAATGCAAAAATGTGAACATCTTTTCTCCCTCGAGGACTGACAAAAATGAGAATTGTACATTAAGAGAAATTATAGCTTGATGGGACTTCAAAACAAGAGGATATTAAATCAGCACTAGCTATTATGATGTCTTGTTTTCTTCAAAATAGCTGTTCATACCATCACAGACAATAAAATCAAACAACAAATAATAAAATCATTCCAATTAATGAGTGAAAACATTATAAGGCTTCAAACCAATATAATGGGGAATCATGATTACCACATACTTTTATGTAATTTCATTTCTTACACTAGGGAAACTATTCGGTATTTATACATGTGAGTCTGATTTATTTCACTTATGAGTATGGTCTCAAGCTGTGCCCATTTAATTATAAATATCTCAATGTGATCCTTCTTTATAGCTGAGTATTACTCCATTGTATAAAAAATACCATAAATTTCTAAAATTTTAACTGTCATTGAACATGGTAGTTCTATAAAAGTTAACAATAACTCAGAACTATACTTAGGGTTAACAATCAGAAATTTTTCAACAAATTAATTTTGGATCTTGCATTTATATAATGACATTAGGAGAGGCAGCCTCATATTTTTGTTGTGCCTTCATAGTTAATTTCCATTTGATCTCTCAGTTTGTCACAATGAATCAGATATAAAAATGTCATACTTATGTGGGTTTCTCATTAACTCAGAGATTTTAAATTATAAACCTAACCACATTTCACAATAAATAAAAATTCTAGACTAGCTTTTAAAGTTATCTTTTACTTCTTTATTGCTTAATCCAGGCACTGAAAGAATAATGCCTCAGATTTCAATTATGTGTAAAAATAAAAATGTTGGCCTTGCAGTACTGAAGAATGAAATGGTGATAATCAGAGACTGGAAAAGGTGCATGAAAGTGGATTAGAGAGAGTATAAAGTATAAGGATTTTTCTCTATGTATAAGGTGTCTATGAGAGACAATAAGTAATGATTATCGCATAGCACCTACTAGAAATGGTTTCAAGGTTTCCCAATATAAAGACATGAAGTAAGCATGTATACCAATTATCACAAGCTGATCATTATTCTTTATTACATATGAGGCAAATAGTTCCATAAAGTTGTACAAAAACCATGTCAATTAAAAATGCATGTGCAAAATTTTCTTAAAGATTGCATCAAGTAATGGTGATTAATTTTAATTCTTTGTCTTGTAATCTCAAGGGAATGGAGCAGTAGTAGGTCACCTGTCAGGTTCTTGACTCTAAGGCTGTACATATAGATATAAAAATGCAGGTGTCACTCCTGGATAGAAGAGATCAGAACTGCATTGGGAAGTTTGTCTAAAGATGCAAAAGTAAGATAGGTTTTGACTTCAATCCAGAAAGCCTCTTGGTAACAGAGATCACTGCTTTTTAGAATTAGAGTGTTACAGAGTAACTCAGGGATGTTTTCATGCCAGCCTTTGGAAAATATGTTGATTTCTGACTGAGAACATTTTGGTAAATACCTTTCTCCCATCTCTTACCTTCACATTGCATTCTAGTACATTTGTGGAACTTTATAATGCAATTGAACTATTTCTCACAGACTTAAAGCTAGCAGTTGGCTGATTAACTGAAAATGTAATAATTATTAAAGGAACTTTGCAAGTATCTAGATATAGAAAAAATGTATCAGAATCTGATAATGAAAAAATGCATGATGAGGAATTTAAGGATAAGTGTTCTAAACATACACATGTGTTTAGATATGCATGTCAATGGAGAAGTCAGTGCTTATCTGGCTGCTATTTTGTTACATCTGGAATAAGGAAGACTCCTACACAAAATGCTTGTTATCCACTCTGATTTTGTAATTCTTTGGACAATGTGGAAAGACTGATATTTAAACCTCCCCCTGTCGAAAAACTTACTCTTTCAACTAAGAACTGTTGTGGTATCAGATTTACTGGCTTTGACAGAAATACTGATTAAAGCCCATTGTAATGTTAATAAACTATGAAAGTTGACATTTAATGTCACTAAATAAAAATATGATCTAAAAATCTATTTCAAATTGCTGGGGGTTTTTTCTGTGAATTATAAGCTGAGATAATCCTGTAGGACAATATTTAATGAACTCATAATAGATGGCTGAGAGTATTATCTAAATAACTAACAAAATAAAAAATACTCATTTCCTATTAGAATAAAAAGTGTATTTGTGCATTTAAAATGTTGCCGATTAATTGTATTATCCTTATGAAATATAAATGACTGTTATTTATAAATGTGAGACATGTTTTGTACATTTTATAGTAACAAGATAATTACTGAAAGACATTTCCATCCTTCTCCAGACTTTATAAGGAAAGGAAAGCACACATCTTTTGTTCTCACTCTCCTGTTTTCATTTTCAGGACTATCCAATTCTGAAACACAGAATCCATGTTAGTGCCAGAGAAAAACAAAAGTGGAGCCATGTTCACCCTCTCAGGCTTCTCAGATTACCCAAAACTGCAAGTACCACTCTTCCTGACTTTTATGGGCATCTACAGCATCACTGTGGTAGGGAATATTGGGATGCTGGTCATAATCAAAATTAATCCCAAACTGCACACCCCCATGTATTTTTTCCTGAGTCATCTCTCATTCGTGGATTTCTGCTACTCCTCCATCATTGCTCCTAAGATGTTGGCGAACCTAATGACAAGGGACAGGAGCATTTCATTTTCAGGATGCATAACACAATACTTTTTCTTTTGTTCCTTTGTGGTAACAGAAGTCTTTTTATTAGCAGCCATGGCCTATGACCGCTTTGTAGCCATCTGTAACCCTCTTCTCTACACAGTCACCATGTCCCAGAAACGCTGTGCCCTGCTGGTGGTGGGGTCATATTCATGGGGGGTGGGTTGCTCCTTGATACTAACCTGCTCCACCTTGCAACTGTCATTTCACAATTTCAACATAATTGATCACTTCTTCTGTGAGATTTCCTCACTGCTCTCTTTGTCTTGCTCAGACACTTATATTAATCAGCTACTGTTGTTCCTTATCTCCGTATTTACTGCAATGGGCACACTCCTCATTATTCTTTTGTCTTATTTGTTCATTGTTGTCACCATTCTCAAGATGCATTCAGCCAGCGGGCGCCGCAAGGCTTTCTCCACTTGTGCCTCCCACCTGACGGCCATCAGCATCTTTTATGGCACCATCCTGTTCCTCTACTGTGTTCCCAACTCCAAGAACTCCAGGCACACAGGCAAAGTGGCCTCTGTGTTTTACACAATGGTAATCCCCATGCTGAACCCCCTGATCTACAGTCTGAGAAATAAGGATGTAAAAGACACAGTCTGCATGTTTATGAAAAATAAATTATTGTCTCATTAAGCAGGAGTTTTAGTTGAATTTTTCCCAGATGGTTTTCAAAAAAGTTATCTTAAGGAACCCATTAAAATTGATACATAATTTTTATAGTGGAACAGAAGTAGATTTTGCTTTCAATGTTGGATATTTCTTCATTCTTTAACACATCAGTTATCTCTCTGATCTTTAATCCTTCATCTACAGGTTTTGTTTAACAAATGGTAATGCAATTCATCATGTGAGTATGAAGTTAATAATTAACATATATAATATGTGGCATATCTTGCATAATTAAATAAATATTAATTCTCTATTATGTACAAGATACATAAAGTTGACTAAGCTTTCAAAAACAGAATTATCTATTGTAAGTGTAAGAGTATGGCTCAGATATTATTCTTGACTTCCATGATACAAAATTCATCATTGACAGAATGCCAATGAAAGACCTGGCCTTTGCACAAGGTAGAAAGTAATTACCATAGAGTTGTTTATTTTAAGTGAAATTTCCAGAAAAGAATTTCTTTTGAAGGATGCTCTAGAAATAATCCCTAATGAAACTTAGACATAACAAAAAGAAGGGCCTGAGATATTAGAAATATATTTCAGAAAGGAAGGCATTTTCTTCAAAGCAAAATCAAACAGATTGTGATGTAACACAGATGTAATAATTCAATAAATCTTTCAGTGTGCTAATGTCATATAACTTCATATGGATTTGTAGGAATATTTTGTGTAATGTACACAAATGATTAAGAATGAATGAAAGTGTGAATAACACGTGATCTACTTTAATTTTTTTCAGCTGTACCTTTAGTGTGACAATATTATGAACTATGACAGAATTCACAAAAGTCATTGTTGTAGTTGTAGCAAGGATTACAGAGGAAATGATGCAATACAGGACACATAATTGATAGGATTATTTTATAATATTCACCCAAAGAGTCAAATGCAAAAGAGTACCGGAAATTTTCCATACACTAGAGATTCAAAGAATCCAGTTGAGGACCTGGATCCCATGGTAATATCTTGCATGATTACAGCTGGAGATCTAGAGTCCACAGCATTGTCCCCCAAGAGTCAAACTAGAGACATAGAATCCAGAAAAATGTGCCATGCAAGTCTGTATCAAGGATCTGCACTGGGAAGTCCCAAAGGTCAGCAGTGAAAGCAAGAAAGTCTGCACCAGCAGGACAAAGAATCTGTGCCAGCAGACTGAGGTATCTGCACTGAAGCCAAGAAGCAACCCTCAAGGTAAGGATCAGCTCTTCCTCCAAATAACCATCATAGTTACAGCAAGGACCGGAGCTCCTCTGAAAACAGCCAAGTCTGTATGAGGAAAACCAGCAAGCATGCACTCACCCCTGCCCCTAGCTCTCCTCCTCTTACGCTGTTGGAAGCAGCTCTCAGGTGGGCCTTCCACACCCAGCACTATGTGGATTCAATTCAGCTAGCTGACCATTAGTTAATCCACCACAGCCACAGAACTGACAGATATATATATATATATATATATATATATATATATATATATATGAGAGAGAGAGTTATCTTCCCAGTTAGTTTTCATTCTATACTATTATTATTTCTGTGAAATTATCCTAAATGTTATCAATCTTTAATAAACTGTTTTCTGATTTTGAGAATATCTTGAACCCTCAGTTTACTATACAAAAAAAAATTTGGGATTTTCTTTTTAATGGAAAAATAATAGCTTCTGAAAATTGTTTGAAATAAATGTAGGCCACACACCATTCCCCATTTTTCATCAATAGAACTAACAGATATTTTTCTTAGTAACTCATTTCAACTGAGACACTTTATACAGATTTGTTCTTCCATTTACCCATCATATCCATATAAAATTTCAAACAATCAGTGCAGTACGAAAAATAAATTTTCCTGCACTTTGTTATGAGAGAAATAAGGTAACTTGACACAATGCTATCAGGGCTCAGCTGTGGGAGATCACCAAGTGGTGCCCACCTGAAACATGAAGCCCTTGCCTTGATCTTTCTCTGACCTTCTTTAACCCTGTTCAATGAGAAATGCAGAGCTGGCTGTATTGAACCAGATGTTCCCTTAATTGCCTAAAAGAATGTGATCAAGTCTGGCCCAAACACCACCACATCTCAGTACAGTATACAAGTGAAAATCATCCCCCTACTGATGGCTGCCAGTCTCAAGCAGGAGTCTCTAAGATTCCCGGGATAAGACACACAGTAACAACTCAACTGAGGCCTTGGAACTCAGAAAGAATTACACCTTCCTGGAAGTGAAGCTGCCACCTTTGCATACAAGTTTTCTGTTACACTGATAGAGAATCTTTGTACCTGGTAAAAATTACTATTTCTCCTTCCAGCCTACAATGCCTGCAAAGTTCTCTTCCCTAGAGCTCTGCTGTGACCCCAACTCACTGCCCTGATTGATACCAATAAATCTCTGAGCTTTTAAATTCTTGTCTTTCTGTTCCACTGAGAACATTGGCTATTCCACAGCTCCTCATCTCCAAAATTTTCTCTTTGTCTTAAACTTTATACCATATTGCTAGATGGGAGACCTGAAGCCTCTGAAGGTGTTTTGGTACTCAATAGCTATGGTCATGCTATTTTGAACTTTTGATTGTTTTATAATGTTTATTTCATATCTATTATTACATAAGGAATCAACTCAATAATAATTAGAGAAAGATGAAATAAGTGCAGGGCACAGTGATCTACATTTTTAATCCCAGCACTCAGGAGACTGAGGCAGGAGGAGTCCCTAAAATTTGAGGGCAGCCTGAGCGAAAAGATGAGCTCAAGTTCAGCTTGAAATATAAAGTAAGACTCTATCTCAAAAGCCCAAACAAAAAAAGAAACAAAAAACCCACAAAGAATAAACATAAAAAAGTAAGAAAGAGTATTTAGATATTAAATTTCTGAAGAGGAAGTGTTTTTATGTTGCATCAAATGTTTCTTTGGGTAATCATAATTTTCTCATTTACAATATATATGGCCTCTGCTTAATGTTCCATTTTCATTGAAATTGCAAGAGCTCGTATCCTATTAAATACCTAGACTGTATAATCTCCCTTAATACAAAATTTTCATTCATTTCTATCATATTTGGGGAAAAGATGTTGATTTTTGTGAAATAAATGACTAAACCTGTTTAAGTGTTATTTTTGTAATCCAAGTTCTACACATATCAGTGTCATGTATAGTTATGGAAATAGTTTTAACATGATTCTGGTAACCACTTACAACTTCAATTACATTTGATTAAGCCATCTCATACGATCTTATACGTTTCCCTGGGGCATTTCTTGTACTTCAGATTATTGTAAATTCTATTGATTTAATGTAATACATGACTCATGTTGAAGTTATTTATATTTTTATGGACGTGGTTTTCTCAATTAATAATGAAAGTATATATTTCAAAGTATATATATAAAATATTTCATCATAGATTTAAATAACAAAGAATATAATTTTTGTGACTCAATACACTTAAAATACATACTTGAGAAGATTTTAAATAACTTTCATTACAACTTTCTTTGTGTTGAAATATTCTTGCTTTTATTTTAAGGAAAGTAAAACTAAACAGAACAAAGCAGATAAGAAGCACACAATGAAAGTGACACAGATTTCACAGCAAGACAACAGGTCTACAGTGGCTACCATAATGTCTCTTGTTTTCCTCTAAATAGTTCTCCATATCTTCACACACAATGAATTCATACAAAACATAATAGAACAAAGCTGATCAGAACAGAGTGATGAAGGCATTATAGGCCTTCAGAACAGACAATGGGAAAATCAACAATGGCTGCCATAATGTCTCTAGTTCTCTTCAAAATGGCTGCCATACCTTCATGTATGTTGAAATTAAATAATACAAAACAGACTAAAACCATGCAAAACAAATATAAAAGCATTTGAAGTTCTGTATTATTACTAGCTTTTTTTCTGTTTTTTTCCTCTTTAAATAAAATGAAAAATATATTAAAAAAACACAAAAAGAAAAGAACCAAAAAAGGAAGCAGTGCTGTTTTTCACAGCATAATGATAGGAAATCAGAAATGGAAACCATAATATCTCTTTTTCTTCAAAGTAGCTGTTCATTTCATTACATGTACTATAATTGATTCTCGTAAACAGTTTAAGATAAGTTCTATGCAAGTATAAGCCTCTACAGGTATAACTATCTTTTCTGTATTAGAGGGAAAAGCAAAGCAAAACAAAACAGATTACTAGAAGAACATGAAACAAAAAAGACAAATAAATAACCATAACAAAGGGCCCAAAACAATGATGATATAGGCCTTCAAAATAAGGTGGTAAGAGCATAACTAGGGCTGTTTTTATACATAATGATCTTCAAGAGTTCCTCAGACTACCAGACACTAATATGCAAAATTGTTTCAATCTTATGAATGTTAACTGTTTTGTTCCAAAAACTTATGGAATTTATAGCACAATCATCTTAGCTATTCTAAGTATGTTTATAAAACTTTAGATGTATTTTTTTCTCTTCCTTTTTCTTTTTCCTCCTTTCCCTAGAGATATTGTTATTTTTTCCTTTTGAACAGATACTTTTCCTTTTACTCTGTTTATGGAGGGTTTTGTATCTTATGTACTCTTACCATTTCTTACACCAAGGAAATAATACAGCGTTTACACATGTGAGTTTGATTTATTTAATTTATGAGTGTGGTCTCAAGTTGTATCCACTTATATACAAATATCTTAATGTGACCATTGTTTGTAGCTGATAAGTACCACATCTTTTTTTTCCCATTCTTCAGTTTATGGAAATTTAGGTTGATTCCAAGATCTGGCTATTACAAATTGTGCTGTTATAAACATGGGTGCTCATATATCACTGTGATGTGATGTTTTCAATATTTCTGGGAATATGCTCAGAAGTGTAACAGCTGGGTCAAAGGGACTTCCAATGCTAGCATTTTGAGAAACCTCAAGACTGATCTCCACTGCGGTTGCACCAGTCTGCACGCCTGCCAATGGTGCAGA